TCCACACGAACACCGTAAGCACAAGCCGAATCAAAAGCACAAGACAACATTGCATGAAGATTGATATTAAACAGGGCAGGAGCTAACACACAGCCTTGCTTCACACCAGAGACAACTGCAAAGTCATCCGAGGTCTCTCCACTCAGCTGCACCCTCACTCGCATACCACTGTGCAGACATACAATTGGACTTAAAAATTTACGCGGTCAACCAAACTTACCCAACACCAGCCACAATGCCTCGCGGTTCACCGTATCAAATGCTTTGGTGAAATCAACAAAAAGCGAGTACAATGGCTGGTGTCGTTCTCTGCACTTCTCTTACAACTGACGAGCCGCAAACACCATAACTATAGTGCTGCGACTCGAACGGAATCCACATTGCTCCTCCGCCACGTTAGGTTCCACAACCTGACTGACGAGGCGGTTGAGCAGGATTCGGGCAATCACTTTGCCCACACAACTCAGCAAGTTGATGACACGATAATTCGTGCAACATTGCTTGCTCCCTTTGCCCTTGTACAGTGGTAGCACAAGTTCATCCTTCAGCTCAGGAGGCACCTCCTCCTCAATCCACACGCGTTGCACCAAGTGGTGCAGCGCAGTCAACAACGCGGGTCCACCGTGTTTCAATACTTCAGGTGGGATCCCGTCACCTCCGGCACATTTGCCGTTTCGCAGCTGAGCAAGTGCTCTCTGCGTCTCATCCAGTCTCGGCGTATCTGCCAGATCCGCTTTCACATCGTGCTGCTTCAGGCCATTCAATGTAGGCCAGTCGATCTCTGAACGGTTGTTCAAGAGACAGTCAAAGTGTTCCCGCCAGACCTGCATTATGTCTGCAGTCTGGGTGCAGGTAGCGCCTGAACTACCATCGATCAGCGTCCTCAGCGGCTTCAATCCCGGTCCATACACCGCCTTCAAGGAGTCAAAGAATTCCTTGTGTTGACGGCGTTCGGCGTAGCATTCCATCTGCTTCGCCTTCTCCGTCCACCATGCATTTTTAATGCGACGGAGGTCTCGGGCCAGTCGCCGTCGAAGTTTGCGAAACTGACTCTTCTTCCCCAAGTCACTGGGGTCTGCAACATGTGCAGCAAATGCTGCATTCTTCTCCGACACCAATGCGCCGATCGTCGCATTGTTGTCATCAAACCAATCAGGCCGCTTACAGTTTGCGCGCCCGATGGTCTCCTCGGCAGCAGTTATCACCTGGTCGCGAATGTGGTGCCACAGGTCGCCCACTGTGGCTATGCATTCCACATCACCACACAGGCGTGCAGCCATCGCCTTCTCCAGCTCAGTACGTTTCACCACAGTACCGAAGGAGAGAATGTTAAATTTACTCCGATTCACGTCGGGAGTGCAATACATAGATTTACGAAAATATATGTACAGTTTGGTCCGCACCAAGTTGTGATCAGTGCCACACTCAGCTCCACGCATTACACGTGTCGTGCGCACTTCACGCATATCACGCTGACGTACGATGAGATAGTCGAGCAGGTGAGCGTGACCACTCCGTGGGTGCGTCCAAGTTGCTATAGCACTCGCACTCAGTGCAAACCGAGTGTTCGTGATCGTCAGGCCGTGAGTGGCACACAGTGAGAGCAGCCTGTCACCGTTCGCATTCGCTGAACCAATGCCATGCGCACCGATAACATCTGTCCACGCTGATGCATCACGCCCAACGCGCGCGTTGAAGTCATTCAGCAGAAATAGTCGGTCGCTCCTCGGCACAGACCGTATCACGGAGGATAGCTCAGTGTAGAATTGATCACGCGTGTCATCAGGATAACACATGGTCGGACCGTACGTGCTTATAAAAGTAGCAAACTTACCTCTTCCGAGTCGTAGGCGAACAGTTATCAGTCGCGCGCTGATGTCCGTTGGTTCACCCACCAGCTGGCCATGGAGGCGATCGGATATTGCAAATCCGACCCCATGTTCACGTGGTGCTGAGGCGGCGTTCCCCACCCAGTAGAATGTGTAGCCAGCACCTGCTTCATGTAACTTACCTTGCTCAGCGAGCCGAGTTTCACTGAGCGCCGGAATATCGATGTGGTAGCGCGCCAGCTCCATTGCGACCAGTGCAGTGCGTCGCTCCGGGCGCTCGCTGGAGTTCCGGTCCAGTAGTGTGCGCACGTTCCAGCACCCGATGCTAAGTGCTTTGCGCGCAGGCATACGATTGCATTGGTGGGCAATCGCACGCGAGGTGGTCGTTGTGCTTCGGAGGTTTGCTTGAGGAACTCCACCCGGAGCCTTTGGCTCAATAGCCTGAACCACAAGGCAGTGGGTGGTTTGGAGTTTTGCTTGAGGGACTCCACCCGGAGCCTTTGGCTCAATAGTCTGACCCACAAGGCAGTGGGTGGTTTGGAGGTTTGCTTGAGGGACTCCGCCCGGAGCCTTTGGCTCAATAGCCTGACCCACAAGGCAGCGGAGAGCAGATCCAGCTCGGGAATGTGATTGCAGAGACAGATTGGGATCTGCTTGACTGCCGTCACACGCAGCTTTTGAGGTTCTGGAACAATTATCATTTGTTTTGCGACCGTAGTAGGATACGTACCTGCTACCACGGCCAGACGCAGGTGGGTTTTGGCGAGTTTGCACCAATTTGACCAGGGGCTGCCTGGCTTGAGGCGGGCAGTAGCAAACCATTGAACACCCGGAGGTGTCCTCCCACCGTCAGAGACAATGCGTGGCCCTCGTGCTCTACGCCAATCGAGCTTTGAGAATATTACCCGTAAACCTGTTGTCTCCCATGGCTAGGTTTTACGGGAAGTGGGCCATCGACCACTTCCTAACCTCCGGAGAGGATGGACTAGGATGCTGCCAGGGCGCCCAATCCTGACAGGAGAACGACTCGGGTCCTCAGCCAAAGCCTTGCATTAAATGAACACCCGAAAGGCAGCGGGTCTAGCACATGGTCAGTTAGCTGACTCATGCGGATTGGTGTCCTGGAGCTTAGCAGGGAGAAGGGCGAAACCCAACTCCCACCCAGCGGTCGGCACGAGGAGGCGCCCAGGACATGAGCAAATGGCACAACAGTAGCAGCATTGGGTAGACCATCTGTCAGGATCTAGCCACCACCAGCCTCAGCGCACCATAGGCTCTCCCGCCTATATATATATATATATATATATATATATATATATATATATATATATATATATATATATATACATATATCATTGACGGGACGTGTCAAGCATTGGCTTTTATCCCGTGATAAATCATTGTTCATTGAACATGCGATGGCGTGTCACTCAGTTACAACAGCATAACTGCTATGCACAGCGTCTCTATTTTAGCCACACGTTTTCAGTTATTCGTCAAGATGCAGCAAAGCTCTATTGGGTAAAGTATAAACTTTATGTTGTAAATCCTCCTGCAGGTAACCACCTCTCAATTAAGCTGTTACTGACCCTCCAGTAGTGACACCTTTTGCATAATTTTGTTAATAAGTTATGAAAGCAACCTCCCTGCTTATGGAATCTATGCTTGTTGGTACGTCATACGTCATACGTCATCTCTATACGTCACTGTATAGAGATATCAAAATGAAAGAGAATTTAGCCGGCACAGCCCACTTGGATAGATAGTGCCACAAGCTGGCGCGGAAAACAGGGCCTGAAGCGGTTTTCATTTTAAGGAAAGCCACTGTTGTCGGTTGTCTATATGTGTGTCTCTGCTTTAACACTTGGTGAAGAGTAAATTTGTGGTCGATACAACCACGACCAGGGAGGAAGTTAGCCAGGCTTCCAGTGATTCGGTTCTCACATGGACCAGTAAGTCGTCGGAGAATGATGCATGTGAGAATTTTAGACAACTCCTGAATAGCTTTGGAATTGTTTAACAGGTCTCTCTTTCACTCAGGGACAGTGAACTAGATTAGAAATTGACGAAATTCAGTGCTCATTGGACGGAGCTATCGGAAATGTGCTTCTCAAATACGATAAAATAAGGGTTGAGCACAGTTCGAACGGTTGCATGAGCAGCTGCCTAGTTACCGACGACGACGACGACGACCGCAGTTGGTTTACGGTTAAGGAGGTGGATTTATCTAGCCAAATGCAGAATTTCAACAAGGGATCGTTAAAGCCTCTGAGGAATCGGCGAACTGTAAGTGCGGTAACACTGAAATCCGAGTTGGAATCATTAACACTCATTACGATATAGTAAGATTACATTCATAAAAACTTAATTCTTAACGACACTAGATGCATCGTCGTAATTGAGCCAAACGAGTAGAGGTGTCAAAGCTGCTGAAGGCTGGATTCACGGGCGCGGAAACCGTGGCACAGCTGCGCCCGAGTGGAGTTCGGCCTCCTTACATGAACGACGTGCCAAAAATTCACAATATTGGTATTCCACGTGCTTTCACTCGTCTGAATGTTAAGTGCGCGGTATTCAGCGTGAGCACTGCTTTTCACCAGTCTGGATAGCACCAGATTACCATTGTGCTGTTTAATTTCGGAGGCAAAGAAAGTCTTCTTTTAAATCGAATGCTCTTTCAAACCATTTACAAACGGTTAACCGCATGAATGAGGCGATGTTGTAACCATTCATTCCCTTAGTTGGTAAACTTCAATCGTTGCCACCCTGTCATGCTTTTGTTTGCGTTGCGAGGGTTAGAATAATTGTTCACTGCATTTTTAGCTGACTTACGCACAAGCGCAGAACTGTTCACTACTTTCAGGTCTAGTTATACTTGGATAACACCAATGGCTGGGAATTCTGTTTGCGCGGGCAATAGCAAACCGACTGAGATAGGTACCGCATCTTAATTACCAATGGAACGTGTCATTCATTTAGTATTTTCCACTTTACCTGGACAACCCACCAGGTGAGTCTATTTTGATCACCTGTAGTCCAAACAGGGGTTGAACACTTCCAGCTGTGCTACTGATCATAATGTATGATACCATTTCGACTTAATTTACCCACAATAATGCTACTGGACTATATCTTGATTGTCCGATCTTTCTTATTTTGCTGTAATTTTAGAGCGGAGCGCTACAGATAGTCGATCGCTGTAAAAATCTGTTCAAATTATCTCAAGGTGAATACGTAGCCCCCGAGAAAGTGGAACGTGTGTATGCGCTTTCACCGCTGGTGATAAATATTTTTGTTGACGGGAATCCATCCAGTTCTTTTGCGGTCGCCATTGTGGTACCTGATTGCAAGCAAGTGTGGCAACGGTTTTCTGACAAACTACTGCCCGTTCTCAAAGTTACTGACCGCATGCGAAAGGTTCTGAACAGTTCTTCAATCCCCGTCTCAGACAAAGAATTGTGCAAAAGTAGCTTAGTGGCGGAACTTATCCTTCGTGAGCTTGTTTCCCTTGGTAAAAGTGCTGGACTCACTGGATTTGAGCAGGTATGTTTTGATTCATTACACACCATTGGTATACCGTAAAACGCCCCATTAAACACCGCTTTACTGAAGGAAGTTCGGTATTTTTTGCTTGTTATGATAAAGTAACAGTAGAAAAACAGGCAGGAATGAAAAGCAGGCAGAAGCAAGAATTCATGTGGATTAAGAACTCCACCATGACTGAACTGATGCGGGATGTTCCAGATGAGAGCTCACCCTGTCTTGACTTGTAATCTAGGCAATCAGACCTAATAAACGTTGACGAGTTGAAAGATGGATAATCCGTAAACCAAACAATCTGATCCACACACTCAATGTTTTATGCACTTAGAAGGTCTACAATCTATTCGCTTCTTCCAGCGAAGCTGTACAGATCAACCCAGGTAGTAGCGCCTGGTCTGTTGCTTTGACAGCAGATTTCGACACGCGGTTTTCAAGTAATTTCTGTATGATATCGACAAAGTACAACTTATAGGGCGTTTTCTTTATCATATAATTTCCTTAGGAGCCCAGAATGAAGTTCATCAAGGAAATGCTTGTTTACCCCATCGCCAAACATCAACATATTTCCAATTACCCTCTTTAGTCCGCTGTTCTACAATCTACAACTTCAGAAACGGTAGAACAGATACTGCCTAATAGAGATTGATAACGATTTTCCCGGTATGAACAACTTGAAAAGTTGCAGCGTTATTAGTTAAGCTTCGTCTACTCACCAAACTGCTCCTGAGTCGAGAACGTAACATTCTCCCCCTGACACTCTGGTGAATAGACTCTGTCACTTCCAAAGTTCCAAACCTCCAGAATGTAGTAATGTGTGGGCTACATCACAAGGTAGATGAATGATGAACTTAGTAGCATGTGTTTTTCACTGTTCATTGCTTTTAGCGGCAGATTCTCTTTTTAGCTGCCATTTCCTTGATGAACTTCCGCACCACATGGTGTTCGTTCGGAGCTGACTCTGTAAACAGTTATATTGGTTTACGTACACATGTGTACAATGATTTAGCTTCATTACAATCGTTTTGCCATAATGTCGAGAATGCTTTTAGCGTGTATCATCAATGATAAAGGAAGACAGGATGACACAGATGTTTAAATTTTAAAGAAAACTATGAGCACCTCCATCCTGAACGAAATCATCCACTTTTTCCTTCTCTTCACCAGGTTAAGGCTATACACCTTTGCCCCGAACCATTTACAGTCGCCAACGGCCTGCTCACACCAACAATGAAAGCGTCCCGAGCGCATATCAGGAGACATTATGCTGCGGCGATTGATGAATTATATCGAAAAGCGAACCTTTAGCTAGCTGCCTTTGTAAACGTTATACCCATCCTGTCCATTCACCAAACAATGTACGCTCATTTTTTCTAACAAGCACAGTTCTCTTTCAATAGCCCTGCATCCATGTTTGATCACTAGCTCCAATTTATTGGCTTTCAAGCCCTGTCAATCATCCATCATTTTCCTCTTTTGTTCCCTGGTTCAGCAACGAAATCAGTGAATGCTGGCACACGTTTTATTTCTTATTAGCAATTTATTGTTAAGTTTTACTGTCACCTTCACATCGTTTGGCACCGCATCATAGCATTTCTCGTTCAATTTTACTTAACTGAGTGGCACTCACTTGGGTACCAACTACCCTAAGTGGGATTCGATAACTTTCTCTGGGTATGCACAATTTGTCTCTGAATGCTTCAATTTAACTTTGACATTCACCTAAGTGCTTCTTGCTACAGACATCGCCCAGTTACCGATCGGAAATGATGTTTATCGCCTTCACGGGTGAGTGCTTCAGTTCTAAATTCGGCGTCAACATAATCCCAAATAACAGGAGCTAACCACAGTGTGCTACGGTTGTAAGATGTGCAGTCTGGCTTCAGACAAATGGTGTCCGAAAACCGTTTTAGCCGGAATAACAGACACAGAAGTTAGTTTATGTTAAGAATGCAGTAACCGGTATTTTGCCACTTGCGATACCACTTTCTGTGAGTTCGTTTACCCACACGACTTTCAAGCAATCGATGTCAGTGCAATTAGATTTTCAATATGCAAATAAGCAAAACGAGAATTTGATTTACCTGGGACCTACTCCATCTCAAGTTGACCAAGGAACTAACTCATTTACCGTCCATCTGGATCATTACGGCATCTGTTTAGCGCATCACAAAACAAAGCAGTTGTTTCTAAGGTAGATGATATGCGATGTAGATCAAATAAGCCGTAATACTGACACGTTGAATGCATTACATTTGTCGTGAAACTGTTGGGACTGACGAGACAGCTGCTATCGGACTGTTTCAGTCCTGTCTGAGCCTGATGTTGCGCTCATGATGCTTCCTCACCGCAGTTGGGCTAAACCAACTTACACTTAAACTAGGTCTTTTTAATGTGGATAACATTCATTCCACTTTAGTTGGTTTGTTCTGTGTACTTGATAATCTTCTCCCAACTTACACATGTCGCTCATGGAAATTGTGGTAAACTTGCGTAATTGTATCGCAGGGTATTTTTAAATAACTCGGACATTTTGTACTTATTGCGGGTTCACTTATAACCTATTTATTCCATATGCACATTTAGCGAGTATTTATGTCGTCATATGCGTTTACTTTATTCGATATCGGCATTTCGAATGATTGGCTGTTGTTTGACATCCCAGGTGTGGCTGCGCTTGATGCGCATGTTGACAAGGTGCCTACCTGTCTATTACCCACTACCTCGTCCATCTGGCTGCAGGAGACAGTTGGTCGTTGCTGGAGGGGACGGGGTGCACGGTCCTTGTGGCCGTGTTAGGATCAAAGAGTGGTTCCATGCACTCAGTGCGGAGCGGACTACGGTCCAGCCACCGCCTTGTGTGCACTTGATTCTCCAAATACAGCGTGCTTGTTTTTGTCTGTGAAGGAGTGTGGGCCGGCACCGTTGATGAAACGTGAATCCCATCCGCATTCCTCCCGGTCTTATTCCTTCGGGTTTACACTGGATATGGGGTGTGTGGATGGAGCTGTGTGTGGTGCAGCGCAAGCCATCCATGGTCCCTCTGTAGGCGCAGGCGTCCTTTGGCTGGCCACAGTGACAGGCAAATCCGAAACCGGATGCCGCCAACCATATCCGGACAACACCCAAGAAGTGACTGCGTTGGATGTTGATTTTTACCAAATGTTCACTCGCCGAATAAGACCCCGTAAGAATATTTTGTTTGTCGTTAGGAGAAATTAGCTGCACAATTTTCGTAATTAATTTAGATTCGTAGAGAATCTACATGATAGAACTGATTTGGACCCAGTCACAGCCCCTTTTATCAGTGATGCTCCTGTTGGGTCAACTTGGATCCAGCCGTGGACACAAAAACATATTTCAAAATTATACTTACGGAGGGTTAAACGTCTTTGGCTTTACGTTAGACATGTGGCTTGCAAGTGGAACTGTGAATAATGCGGAACACACAAGCATCTTGTGGCTGCTCACTGTCTTAGTGCAAGATAGACAGTATTTAAGGTAGCCCCAACAGGGTATTTCTAAGACAACATTTTGAAAAACTTTGCCTAGCGTTTCTTCATTTACCATCACAGCCTAAATGGCAATGCCACGGAGTCTCAGAATAGAATTTATCGGTCAATTTTTCCTTGGGACAGCTCATAGGCATCAGTAGATATCGTATGCGCATCCTTCGGTGGGAACGGTGGAAAACCTTTTGGGACGACACGTTCTGCAACACGTGACTAATGCGCGCGACTTAGGTATAGGTGTGCCAAACTTGAAGTTGAGACTTTGGGCGACGACTAGTACCAATGCTTATTAACCCCCCATATTCGTCCTCAAGATGAATATACAATTCAGAGCTGATGTCCATGATTAAAACGATACATTCGTCTGTTGGAACAACCCCAAAGAAGAGTCACAACGGCAACGCGTGGACTACCCGATCTGTTACGAACTACGTCTTCGTGTACTCGGTGTGTTCTCCCCAGTATACCGACGGCTTCGCGGAGATCTTACTCTCACATACCGGATACTAACTGAAAGCGAGCATCCATATACATCGCTGTTGACCGTAGTCGCTTACAAACAAAGCCGCGGCAACCACCTGAAACTAATGACGCAACACTCCCGTCTGAACTGTAGAAGGTATTTTTACTTCCTTAGCATCTGTTCTCACTGGAATGCATTAGCAAGATGTGGGGTGAGCGCACCAAATATGACGACGTTCGGAAGACTGAGACTTTCATTTTAGTGCTAAACGCTACACAACAGTTTGATAAGGTGCAACTTCACGTTCCGCGTTGGAACATTTGGATTTTAATTTTCGTTTGCCTATCCATCCTGTGGGTCTTGTAAAGTTATGCTTTTTATCCCAGCATACACTATTGAAATATTGAAAACAAATTTACATAGTTGTAGCTCATTCCATCTAATCTAGACGACCGAATTACCGTGACCTGATTAATTTTAAGCAGCAAGGAGATTTAGTGTTACTTCTTAGTAGTAGTTTGAAATTATAATCTTTCACCGTTAAATTTTCTCTTGAAAGTCAAACAGATGGAATATGACCATCATTCTTCATTACGTCTAGCACTGTATGGAGCGTGTCTTTCCAGGACTCCGAGGAGAGATTCATCGATCTATTTCTTTGTCCAGTTGCTCGTGTGTCTAGTCTCGGTGCAATGAAAGCAGGTTCGATTCTCGAAAATGTAACCAAGTCGCACTAATGTGCGGCTGTGAGGCGGTAGTTTGGCTTCAATGGTTTCATTCAGACATCTGATGCGGAGTGCAATGATTCTGTGGCCACATCGAACGAACGCCCGTGTGCACAGCGTCACAATGGGGATATGAAGTGACAGAATGAATTGAGACGTGAATTGAGCCAAGCAAGCACCTCTGCTAATACGACTCACCGTGGTTGCCAATCAGCTAGTCGGAATGCAATCAAATGTCAAGTCTAAGCCATAGACGATCAAAAGACAGATATGCCTATGGAGATATGGTAGGCTTGTCACGGTAAACGTTTTCAGTGAGAAAACTTTTTCCACCTCATCTTAGTTTTAGTCCCCTCCGTTAGTTCTTGCGCCCCAAATGGAGAGTAAGGAAGGGAGCATCAAAAGTTTTAAATTACTAAAAACATATTAGGACCGTGTGTGCTAAGAAGAACCCTTAGTTGAAAGCTCATCTAAGGTCACGAATTGGTTTAACCTTATCCCAAGGTCAGTGCAACATTAGGCCATTTTATGTGTAACACATACACAGGCACAGGATAGAAACGCGTAGTCAACGATGGTTCAGTTCTCAATGTTCATCAGCTGAAGTGAAATGAACACTACAGCTATGATTGGATGGAACCTACATATATGCACATTTGAATAGATTGACGGATTGCGCTTTCGAGTTAGTGGGAATATATATATATATATATATATATATATATATATATATATATATATATTGCGTCAGTTTATGAATAGACAAAGAGCCATAAAACCATGGAAATCAAAGGAAGGTGCAGTTGTTGTAAAAGAACACCGAACACAACACAGAGAAATTGATGGTTTCGTCAGAGTGCAAAATACAATTCCGTTACCCAAGCCGAAGTTGGGTGTTGACTTGGGGATATCACCCCTAGACCTTGGCTAAATAGCCCGCAAGGCAGCGGGGCGAATTCAGCGAACCGCACCCATTGGGGGCCGGTGTCTGATTGCTCAGCTGACAAACAGGGCGCACTCCTCCCCACAATTTTAGCTTCGCTTTTCTGGATTCAGTGCTCCACTGAAATGAAGCAAAGGGCAGTGACTTTATTTTGGTGGCGAGTCACATCCACCACGTCACAGTGTTGTTAAGCTGACATATGTGGCTAATTATAGGGGAACGCTAGCCAGGAGAAAACCCACCACGTCCTGGAACACTGTCGCCAAACTATTAACTGGAACGGTATAAACTCAAACCAGCCAGCTGGCACCAGAAGGAGGTTGTTCGGTATGCCAGCCGGTTGTTTGGCTAGCTAGCCAGTCAGCTTGCAATCCGTAATTATTTGCATCGGATTTCAACAAACCCCATTTATTCATAGAGCGGCAACATGTTAAACTTACGAGTGAATCATGCACTTGAAAATAACATATTCTGGCCTAGCAGCATAATACATTTCAAACAACCACCAACATAACTAGAATATAGCGTTTTTCCTATCGCCACAATTACAGTGGTTGTGAAGGATTTCTAGGATTTGTGAACAGCAGGCTATAAGCAAGCGCGTACTGGAGGGCAATTAGGGCCGAAAAATGTGGGATATTTATTCGAGTAGGCTATCAGAAGACTTAAACTGATGCAGCAAAAGCTAGCTGTCGTTATCCCAGTAACTTACCGACCAAACAAATGTTAGACCGAATGTAAGTGAATATGCACGTAGAGTGGAGCAACACAACAAGGAAACATTGCGTACGATCGAACTATAATAAAAATGCATAAAATATAAGCTTTTCTCTTGGATCGCTAACGATTTCAGTCAATGTTTCGATTTCTGTAACTGTAGTTTTCCTTCAGGTTTAGTAAAAGTATATCCAGTCTTTGAAGTGCTTTTATTAGTAATAAGGCGCTAGCAAAATAAAGAAGAGTTGCATGAGTGTTTCCATTT